GACTTCCATTTTATGGGAAGGGGGAATGGAGGCCCAGAGAAATGACTTGCCCAAGGTCACACAGCATGTCTCTGACAGGCAGGGGCCAGGACTCCAGGCCCCATATGTTTCTACTGAGAAGCCCATGAGACAACTTCAGACATCTCCACACAGCCCGGACACATGGACAGAGACAGACGGAAGGCTCTGCTCAGAAGCCTGGCATGGAATACCTGCCCCCCCACACCGCCTGACCCCCGCTGGTTGAACACGTGGGGAGACTGAGGTCCAGAGAAGGGGAAGGACCACCCCTCCTGTCCCATCCCCCACCATGGTCACGCAGTGAGGCTGAGTGGGGACAAAAGCAGTCCAGAGCGTGTCTGCTGGCCCTGATGCCCCCACCAGCCGGGAGCTCCCAAAGCAGCTGCTTGCAGGGACGGAAGCAGGCCCAGGGCTCTGTCTGCCCAGAGGATGTCACCCCGTGAGTGGGGCCAGTGTCACAAGCACAGCTCAGCAACGACCCAGCCCCCACACCAAGCGAATGCAGAGATGGCGACGTTGGCCTGGGCAATGACACCCTCCTTCCTCTGACCCTCCTGCCTAGCAACAGGCTGCCCCGACCCCTGCCCCAGGCCTGGGCTGGCCTCGGGCCCCATGCTGCTCCCCTGGGCCGCTGTGGCTAGGGGAGTCCTCCTGAGCCACAGCTACAGAGACCTGCCCTGGCTTTGCTGGAGAAACTGTCTGGGCAGCTGCTGGGGGGCCGTTCCATCAAGTGAGGGGAGAGGGAGGAACGGGGCATGCCGGGAGCCCTACATACCTGTAGTGCCTCTGTGTCCAGGGATTTCCTCTTTAACTCCAGCTGTGTCAGCTGCAATAACTCAGTTTCTATTAACTTAATCTAAACAGAAGACGAGACAGGGGGTTGATCATGTCAGCCACGGCTCGGTGTGTGCTGCCGCTCCGCGGGTGGCCTCGTGGGCTGGGGGAGCTATGGAACGCCGAGGACCTGCATGCCTCAGGGACCTCACGAAGGGGCTCTCAGCCAAGAGTTAGTTCCTTGGGGGCCTGGACCAGGCCCACCCAGGTCAACCACGTGGACCAAGAACTGAGCGTGGGGCCCTGCTGCACAGTGGGCTGGGGCCTGAGCCGGGGCCCTCCTCTCAGGTTCAGGGCAGAAGAGAGAACAGGCGTGCAATGAGCAGGAGCCTCGTGGAAGTTGGAACCCCGTGTCTCCTCTGACTGTCACAGGGACGAGAGGGAGCAGGAGTCCCGCGGGGTGGGTCACAATGGCAGCTCACACTCACTGAGCTCCTACGGTGTGCTAGGCCTGGTCTATGGACGTGACAGGTGGCATTTTCAACATCTCTTGTCTCACAGCCTCCATGCGACAGACAGGAGATGAGGCAGAGAGGGCAAGCTGCTTGCCCTAGCACACTGAGCTGGGGCATGAGCCGCACGGGGCCCTGAGAGGCAAGACCACCCACAGGAAGAAGGCCTGGGCTTCCTGCACCCTGAGGGTGTGGCTGGCTAGGGACCCCTTGACCCCTAGTGGTCAGCCACTGACTTACCCTGTCCCCATGACCCTGTCCTTATGTCCCCACGACACCCCCAGCCCCTGGTCAGAGGAATGAGCTTCATGTCCGGCAATGGGGGATTGAAATTAAACAGGGAAAGAAAAAAGAAAAATTGGTTTGGGTTGAAAAAAGAACAGAAAGGCAAAGAAAGATAAAAAACAAACAAAACCATGCAAAAATGTGAAATTCAAAGTGTGCTGAATATGATGTAATGAGCGTTCCCACAGCCTGAAAGCTCACAAGATTTCCCCACCCACCCAGGCCTGCCAAGCTGTCCCCTGGGGGACCTGTATCCCTGTAGACCTTGCCTCACCCTCACCAGAGCCCAGTGAGAAAAGCCCGCTTGGCAGAAGTGGACAGGACACCGAGGGAGGAGCTGATGGAGCCTGCCCAAAGCCTCCCTCAGGCCGGCAGCAGACCCTCAGCAGACACTTTGGCACCTCCTGGCCCACACAGGTGGGAGATCCCACTGTCCCAGAGACCCCCAGGCCTGTCCCTCCTTCTGAGCTGATGGGTGCGTGGGGTCTAGGCCTGCTGCTTTCCGTCAGCAAGGGTGTGCAGCCTGGGGGGTGGGCCAGGCATGAACCCTGTGCATCATGGGAAACAGTAAGATGAGGGTTACACTCACCCAGGGCCAAGGGCACTTAAGGTGCTGCTTCAGGACCCCTTCCCTGGCAGGGGTTCTGTGACGGCCCCCATTTTACAGATGAGGAAAGCGAGGTTCTAAGAGGAGACAGTTCTTGCTGAGCCAGCAAGATCAGACCTAGAAAGCCCTTAAAGGCCACCTGGCGAGGTCTGTCTGCACTTCTCTGGAAGCTGGGCAGGTGGCCCTGCTCCCGGCACTCACCTGGTTCCTGATCTGCCGGTGCATCATGTCTTTCTTCACCTGGAGGGCCTCAAAGGCAGCCTTCTGCATGGCGCTCTGCAATGGAGAGTCCTGCCTGTCACCAGAGGCCGCCGGCCCAGGGCCCCCACCCAGGGGCAGACCTCATGCTGCGTAAGTCTGCACTGTTCGTCTCTGCTCCTTTCAGAAAGGTCGAGAAAACACTCTCAGCTGCTTAAAATGTTAAAAATCAGTTATTAAGCACTACCTCAGTGCTCTTCCCGCCGAGCCCACTGAGCCTCCACAGAGAGGAGGGAGGCGGAGAGGACCGTGACTGGTCTCTACAGCTCTAGAGACCCACAATGAAGCCCAGGTTAGACACCCTTGCCGGAAAGAGGGCGCTCTCTCCAGCCAACGCCAACCGACACTCAGGCCAACTGCTTAGGGAGAGGAGAGCAGAGAGGTGGGGGGGGGTGTGAGGGAGAGAGGCAGCTGGGAGGGGCGGGGGCAGATGGAGATGGAGGGGAAGAGCAGGTGGGGGGTGGAGAAAGGAGGCTGGGCAGGGGCTTCTAGGAAGGAGCTGGAACAGGACAGTAAGGGCAAAAGTCACCCGGACCCACTGCTGTTGATTCTAACTCGCAGTGAGCCTGCAGCAGAGAGAACAGAATGGCCGTGGGTTTCTGCGCTGGGAACCTGGAGCAGAAATCCTCCTGGCTCCCTTGGAGCCGTGGGTGGGTTCGAATGCCTGACTCTGTGTTAGGAGATCCAGAGAACCCCACCACACTCTTATTTCCTCCAGCCTGGGCCTCCTGCGGAGCGGGGACCTTCCCTGCTAACAGCTTCCTCCAAGTGCAGTGTGGCGATGGGCCAGCCGAAGCAGAAGGGCAGCTGGTGCGGTTTGGAGACGAGATGGGAACAGTGCCCCTGTCCTGGCTTGCCGGCTTGACCTCAGTGGTATCACCCCCACCTCCTGCCGCCTGAGGCCCTTCCGGCAGAACCCGTTTCTTCCACAGCAAATGTTTATAGGGTGGGGAGCTCTTATCTGGAGCTCACCCAGAGGCCTCTCCTCACCCCTCTCTGTGCGTCCCGTTTTAAGGTCACCAAGCCTCCCTGGGTCTTACATGCTTTCTAGGGCAGGGCTCCGTGGAGCGGGCCAGTGCTCTGCCTGGTTTCCCATGTCCACTCCCTCACCCCACCCCCCATGCCCCTGGCCAAGGGCTCACCTCCTGCAGGATCTGGCTGACCGCTTTATTCTGATCCATCTGTTGCCATGACAGAATTTGCTGGAACCTCTCATCCATCTCAGCCATGCTGCGAGAAAGATAGCATGATGTTTACTCTGTGTGCATTTCCTGAACATCTACTATGTGTCAGGCCCTTCGGAGAAGATCAAGATAAACTATATAGTCATTCAACGGCACTGAGGGAGCTTCTGCTGGGAATCGTGCCCAGACAGGGGGTGTGTCCAGGCCCCATAACCCTGGAGGAGGGGGCAACCTGTGTCTAGGGAGCCTAGTGAGACTCCCCCATAGCTTCTTTTATGACTTTCCACTTGAGTTCTTGCTAGCACGGCCCCTGCAGTAGATATCCCACCTCTGCCCACCCAACTCCGGGGACAGAGGTCCTGACCTCCCAGTGAGCAGCTCAGGCTGTGAGCGAGCCTGGGGACTGAGGCCTGCACCCCGGCTCGGCCGAGGTGCATCTACCGCTCAGCTCCCCCAGAACAAGTCTAGTGAGTGTAGCGCAAGAATCACACCTGCAGCCTCACACACATCCATCCACACACTGGCAGTCTTGGCTCTGCGCTTGTTTGCTTCAGACTGAGCGCTGCCATGGACTGAGTGTGACAAGCCAGACAGCTTGCTCGTTTACGCTCCCCGTCTCCGCCAGCCACCCTACGAGGCAGGGCTGTGACGCAGCCCCACTGCTCCCACGAGAAGGTCGAGGGACATATGTACACAGCAGGTTTCTTTAAAACCAAGAACAAAAGTCCTTCCTGATTCCGGATTCCTCAAGCCTCAGTGTTGGTCCGAGTGGCTCAAAAACCAGAAAAGGAAATGGACTTGAGTCTTCCGTGACCAACAAGTTCATGTCAAACAACAGACGACCGACCGAGGGAAGGGAATTCCCCAGGTGTCAGGCATCCGTAGATGTGGGAGCTGAATCCAGGTCTGCACGGCCCCAGGGCTTCAGCTCATACACACACTGTCACCCCACCAGGAAAGGGGAAAATGCCCACACCAGCAGGGATGGGGGAGGGCGGCAGCTGCATCAGAGCCACCTGGATGGGAGAAACCCGAGGGGGGCCAGCACGGTGTTCCCCGCTGTCTGGGGCTCCCAGACATCAGTGGAGGAGTTTTCTTGACTGGCTCTGCCAGAAGCTGGTGGCTCCCTCGACAGGCCAGGCCATCGCACTGCCGTGAACTAGGGGTGCCAGACTCAGAGCAGCCGTTAGCATGAAAGCCCCACTCCCGACCTGTGCTGAGCCCTTGCACACTGACCCGGGTACCACGGTCCAGGGCATGACTTGCTCTCGGTCTGGGTTCAAATGCTGGCTCTGCTATTGACTACCCGTCTTTCCTTGGGTGTGTACACATTCTTCCCGGGTCTCAAGTTGCAACTGTCAACATGATCCCTCATAGACTCACCAAGTAGACGCAAGGGACCACTTCGCCTAGTGCCTGACCCAGAGGTAGCGCACCAGAAATGGCAGTGAGCGAGCTGCACTTCCGCCCACCAGCAGCAGGGGGCTTGGCTAGAAAAGCCACGGGCATTGGCGACACTCGCCCCTGAAACAGCTACCTCAGGCAGCACAGGGTCGGGGAGCCTAGTGCCCCGCACTTACCTCCAGCCAGCAACCTGAATGAGCCTGCAGAAGCCTCTTCCTTACCTTACCTGGAACAGGCCTGCTGGACCAAGGTCTGTCGCTGGGACTCGTAGGCCACCTGGACGAGCCGGTTCTTGCAGCTCTCGGTCAGCATCTGCTGCATGGCGGCTGTGGGAACACCAGGGCAGGCTGGGAAAGGGCAGCCAATCCCGGGGGAGTGGGCCTGAGGGCAGGGGTTCCACTGGAGGGTCACCCTTTAAAAGTCAACCCTCTTTGTTCTGTGTCACCATACAAGCAATGCATGCTGTTTAGGATTTTACACTTTGACAGCCTTTCAAGCTAAGTGGCACCTACTCTTTTCCCCATATTATCGCCGGTGTCCATCCTTCCTGTCACAGCCCCATGCAACCTTGCGAATTGTGGAAGACGTAATGACAGCACACGGAAGCTACGGTGGCCCATGGCCCCCAGACCCTGGCCCATCAGGAGGCGTCTGTCCGAGGGGGTGCTCAGAGTATCACAAGGCCTGGGCTACCTCAGCTGACTGGCGTATATCTCTATGTGGGGGGATTTGGACTCTTCGGGTGGCCCCTTCTGCCCTCCAGAAAGATCCTGCCGATTCCCAGGCAGCAGCACATAGGGCAGTTGGATGTCTGGCGTCTTCAACAATTCAATACTTCCCCTGGCTTTTGCTTACGTTTACTGACATGTTTACAAATGATAGGTAATCGCGATCTTTCAAAAAGGGCTGTTGGTGATGCGTTGTCGTCCCCCCCCACCCCCGCCGCCGTGAGGACGAGAGGGAGTACGGAGAGCACCCGGCTCACAGAAAGTCTTGGTGAAGGGCCGCAGCGTAGTATTCTCTCTCTCACAAAGGCTCAGGAGGATGTGCAGCGCCCAGAGAACCACTGCTCACCATCCCTTCTTTCCCTTCGCCTTGCTCCTCCCCGCGGCCTCCCTTGGTGTCTGGATCACTCTTTCTCGGGACCAGATGGGGGAGGCGTCCCTCATCAGTGTGGACAGTGGAGTCAAGAGGCAGCCTAGGGCGGAGACTCACTGGGCCCTCATTGTGACCCGCTTCCCTCATCCCACTTGTACAAAAAGAGGTTTGGACAACGCAGAACCCAGCAGCCCCCAGGGCCACACAGCCAGTGTCTGAGCTGGGATTCCGAGTGACCCCAGAGCACATGCTGCAGGACTGGGCTCTGCTGCTCCTGTCTGTGAGTGACAGAGAGGGGGCTGTCTAGCCCTGCCCAGGGACCACCACCCTGCCCTGCACGGGGACTCACAGGCAATCTCCCGTCGCCGCAGGTTCTCAGTCTCTTCCTGGGTAATAGACATCAACTGCTCCATCCTTATTCTAGAAAACACCCATCCGTTCCGTCAGCACGCGGAACACTGCCAATCCCTCCTCCAGGAAGTCCTCCCTGGTGCTAGCTAGCGGAGCATGCTCTCTGAGTGCTGCTGTTACCCTTCAGCCTGATTGTGAAGTTTAACTAAAGAGGAAAATGGGCCAAGGGCAAGCACCAGTCCTCTGGTGCTCAAGTCCATGTGATAAGCTAGCACATGGGGAGATGCTTGATCTCACTGACCACTACAGACCTCTCAGAATGGTGGGGGGAGAAAGCGGTGACGGGCATGGGGATGACACTGGGGGGGAAATGGGCACTTTCAGACGCTGCTGGGAGGGGAGCCACGCAGTGTTTGGAAGGCAGCCTGGCAGGGCCCCGTCAACACAGAAAATGTGCAGGAAGCCCTTCAAGCTTACGCCCCCAAGCGCCTCAGTGCATGTTCAAGCCTAGGCTTCCCAAACTTACTGGGTTTTCTGCCCCCTTTGAGGGGAACAAAGACAGGGTGGAGTCCTCTCCAACCTTTATAAATAATCAGGTGTCTGCATGACACACTAACTGAAAACAAACACCCACTACATGTATGTTCGACAACAAGCCACACTCAGTGACCATCTGGGGCTTGCTTGTTGTTGCTGTTACATCTGACTGTTAGGCATCTGAGAGCTCTC